TTATAAGTAATTTCATAGTTCCTTATAATATTTTATGCACATATATATATAGGCATTCAGTGGAGTTATTTAAAATTTCCGCAAGTTAAGTTATCCTTGATGTTCCAAGAATAAGAACAAGTCAGAGTAAAAATTGCCGAAATAATATCGAAGGATCCGTATAAAACTAGGTCGTATAAATATACTCTTTCAAAGTGTTGTAATATCGAGGTCGGATGTTCTGTTCTCCGTCTGTCTTTTGAGGCAATCCTATTCAAGGGTACATGGAAAAGTTCTCTTTGTGCAGCATGAAATCTTCCTACTTCATCACACGAGAAGGATGGATTATAAGACCATCCACCACCATTTTCACGAATAAGTGAATGGTCACAAAATGTTTTTTTTTTCTTTTAAAAATTGTTTTAAGGATTTTTAAACATTCAAAATGAAAGCGACATTAAATGTAAATATGTATATCATTTTAGAAAAAAAAGACATTATTTTTTTATTACTAATTATTTTGATTAAATAATACCATGCTTTTGTAACTGAAAAATACGGGAGATGTTTTGTTTTGATGTGATATTTCCTCTTTTTCTGCAAAATATATTTTGTATACAATAATATGAAGCATGAATAATAAGATATATCTGATTTTGTGATACGTAAATTTCTACTTATAATAACGCAAAGTATCCGACGAGTTTTACTATCGCATTTTATTCCTCTTTGATTTTATCTTCCCTTTTGAATATAATAGAAATGTCAATTTTGCATTTAATTGCACGATTTAATTTAAAATCATATTATCGCTCTTTGCGGCACATTTTTAAAGTGATTCTCCCGAGAAGAGATAAATTTGAGAAAGACTAATTCTAGGATGAGAGACGAAAGTGCAGAGATGTATCGCGAGAATAAAATTATCTGCTCTGCAAAATACGAAATAATACTGTTCATTTCGGGTAAGACGAATCGTCATTTATTAACAGCGTCGCATTCTTAAGTGCCTCAAGTAACTCAATGCTGGTACGTAGAAGTTCACGAAATAAACTTACTCGTCTTATCCACTGCTGTCGTTTTAGTCGTTCTAAAACTAGAAATATGTCTTCCTCTGTGGCATCTTGTGATATTCCTTTGCGCGCGCCGCGTGAGAAACTGCGATATTGAACGCTTTTTATTTTATTTCATGTGTCACAATTGAACAATTTGAAGCAATAACATATTAAATCGTATAAAAAAAATTGCAACAAAATTTTACTTTAACAATATTTTTTATTATTATCACAGTTATTGTCATTATTATAATTGTTTATTATCATTGTAATAGCTAATTCCTTTTCTTTCAATACATATTAAATAATATATTAGTATTTATTTTTATAATAATATATAAATAAATTTGAAAGTTTTTGTATAGACTATAATATTTTATTTTATATATGTGATATAATTTTTTTATTACGTATTATTGATAGTTTATGTGAAATGTAAAGTTTATTAAGCCACTAATGATACGAAAGAAAGCTCGATTAAATCATATTTTGATATCAATTATCGATGATATGATGCAAAAAGCATGTATTTTTAAATCTTATCAAGTCCGTAGGAAACAATTAATATTTCCCTACATTGCATTGAACGAGCGTGCGTAATTTACATTCGTATTTTAGTTTATTTATACGATATCTAAGTTTAAGTCTATCTAAGGTTAAGTGATTGGGTAGATTAATCAATCGAGTGTGCGGTCGGAAGTGACCTCTCGTTGATAGAGTACAGATCGGTACCTAAATATGATCGTCGATGCACTATACGCGCTACTGGTTTACAAGAGATACCGCAACCCCCGGAACCAACGTTGTTAAATCGAGGAAGCAATTTTACGAAAATCACGATTTGGTTGATTCGTGCGTCACGCGGACCGCCGTGTAATCCGTGGTTATTCGGTACGCTCGGTCTTTTCGCGTAATCCGTGCAATTATACCAGATCTCTCGGCGAATACCGAAAATTCCTCGCGGCTGGAAATGAGAGAGCACACAATGGAAAAGTTTAAGTGGCAAACCAACGGCTCGTTAGCCGGCGCGGAATGCGCAAACAGAAAGTACCGTTTTTATTGAAAACGCTGGTTACGATAATTGGATGTAAGCATCATACGTCGTATAACTTTATCCATACCTGACTGAAAAGTATTTAAATGGGAATAGGAAATGTGTAAAACTCCTAACACACGTACGTAGTGAGTGCCCCTCTACGTACATAACGACGAAAATAAAATCTCGTTTGTCAGAATTAGACGGCAAACACTCGAGCAAATTCTCGGAATAAGTATAATATTTATAAGCGTTCTTTTTTAAATCAGATTATATTTTTTTCCGGAGACAGAAATCATATTTTAGATGTGTACGTACATCTCTCTCGCAAAGGCAAATTCTCTTCAAAGATAATATTACGAAGGGGGGGAAGTTAAAATTATATACAAGGAAAATAGTATTCTGCATATCTACTTTGGTACCGGCCGCAGCTGTGTTATTATTAATGTTTCGAAACAAGAGCAACTACGGAATGTCTCGTCGGGAAGATATTGATATTATCTGTATAATTGAAACTTGGTTCGGAAAGATATAATTATTTCATTCCCTTCGGCATGGATCGAGTTTCGTAACGCGGAGCTCCGTGTAATTCAGCTTTCTTGTGGTAGCCGTGTTCAAGAAGTTCCGGCAACAAGTTACAACCTTCAACTTCTAGTCCGGTAACTTTAAGGGTGAAGAACTCGAGACGCGCAATGTGTCAGACGCCATAGGCGTCTGCTTGATTCATGGTTGACTTCCTGCGGCGTGTAGGAATTGCCTGCTGCTAATCTAAGAAACTGATCATCGCGCATGCAAGCGTCGTGTAATTAACCGCGGCAGAGCTCTTCCGAGGCATACAATGTGCATGTATGCGAGGGGTAGAATGAATGGTAGGCTAGCCAAACTAGTGATTAAAAACGTCGCGATGCAAAATTAAGGATCCATTGAATATTCGTTAGACATCTCGAAATATTAATCGCTGATATTAATTGCTTAATCTGATTCTGGTGCCTACATCATTGATATAGTCTAAAAAAACGAATGAAAAGAAAAAGAAGGAGGAATAATGATTAAGAGTATTGGAGAGAAAAGGATGACAACGTGTCACCGCGATGTCTGTACAAGAACACACGGAAGAAGCGATGGACGGTAGACGCTCGTCAGAGGGTGCATGCCGCCTCCGCGTTATGGCGAAAGGGCGGAAAGACGGAGGGATATAGAGAGGGCTCGCCCGGGCACGACATGGTCGCCCCCTTTATCAAAGACCTTGGCACTTTGCCACGTCGCAACGCATAATGAAGCAGCACGTTGGGCTTCGGTTATACTGGCGCCAGAGCTCGTGTTTTGCCTCCCGGAGAATAGTTTATTGTACCGCGCAGCAGCGTCTCCTTTTGCGCCGGCGGTCCTGTTAGCCTTGTCATGTATGATATTCACATTGGTATTAAGACCCTTAATATGCTTAACGGTCGGATGGACCTTCTTTTGACGCGGACCGTGTAAACGAAGCAATCTCCGTATCGAACGGACTAGATACATGCTATTTAACTCTTTGACGTTATGCGCTAAATAATTATCACGCTAAAGATTTTCTTGTGAAATTCTCCTACTTTAATATCGCACTAGATGTTCCATAATTAGCACGCTTAGCGCGATAAATTATTCACTGAAATTGAATGCTCAATAAAGCTCTCGTAAATGGTGACCGTTTTTTATTAATATCTAAGATTATACGTATATTTAAGTTAAAAGTAAATTTCCATTAGAATTGATAAATAATAGATTTTGCGTGATATATAAATCTTACAAACGATTAAAGTTCCAATTTTTTATTATTTATAACAAAAACTACTAATGCTTTAATATTGAAATAATTATATTTATTTTAACTTGATCTACAATGTATGAGTTGCTCAGATATCAAATAATACAAGTCCGAAAAAGCTTGAGAAATGGACTTGTACGTTCGCTTTTGTCGTAAATACACATAAAAATGGTTTAATTATCTGATCGATCATGAAAATAGAATTCATGGACTTGCATTATTTAGCATCTGACTAACTTTTATATAATTTTTTATTTTGGCAATCTAGTATTTTATTTTTGCGTTACTCGGTAAAAAAACGATCGGTTTTATGATTTTTAAATAATAAGTACTTGATCAATATTTATCTGGATGTAATCATCCTTAAAAAATAACGACGCGATCAATATTTATATTGATATTGGAATATTTTGCATATTGGAAATATAACGTTCTGTGAAATTCAATATCGTGAAACATTTCCTATTGATTTAGATTGACGGAAGTGACATTTGCAATTATTGTAGGTGTTTTGTCGGGGCTTGAATGCCCTCCACGTATATGCCGACGGGAAGAGTGCTTCGTAGCCACGTGGTCGAGGAAAAAAGTTGCGTTCCTCTCGTTTAAAAATATGTATATTTCAGAACTCACAAATACGTACAGTAGCTTGCTCAGAATGCCTTTCTTATTACTAATTATTGCACAAGATATTGCGTGCCTATGTGTGATAAAGGTATAACGTGGTTCAAGGGCCGAGAGCAGAGAGAGGACAAGAAAGGCTCACACGCCAAGGCCAGCTAGAGGTGCCCTCTCGTGAAGTACAGAAGCGCCGCTAGGCGAAACGAGAGCGGAAAGCGAACGTTAGCGCGAATGCTCCCGCGGGACACTTAAGTGTACTAAACATCCTCCCCCCCTTGAAAGGACTTGCTTTCAATTGCATTGAACAAGACTAGATGCCTAACATTACGGGCTATAAAATCAAGACTGATTACCGCAAGCGTTCTGCTTGTTACAATGAGCGAACAAAAGAGTAAATTTATTGCACTATGCGCGAATAAATTGAAGATTTAATTAGACATTGAGAGTAATTTTACAGACTAAACTAAAACTTACGTTAAAGAAAGACTTAGCCTAAATATAAAAACAAAAAGGCTTAAGAGTCTATTGGTAGTATTGCTATTTTAGACAGTGGTCTAACTAATGAACCCTTTGAAGTTTTAATGACGGCGGACCTTGCATTGCCGCTAGAGTCCTTGTGTATTTGCACCACACGTCCGAGCATCCAGTACAAAGGTGCCAGACCTTGCTGCTTTAAAAGCACTAGTTGATCTTCCTTTAATTGTGGGCCCTTGTTGGCCTTCCACTTATGACGCTCCTGTAGGGAATGCAGATATTCAGAGCTCCATCTGCGCCAAAAATGCTGCCGGAGTTGCTCGACGCGTTGCCATCGCAGTAAGCGATTTTCGTTGACATCACATAAATCGCTAGAAGGGAAACCGTTCAAGAGAGTGCCAACCAAATAGTGCCCGGGGGTAAGGTAGGTTAGATCATTCGGATCCGAACTTAATTGCGTGAGGGGCCTCGAGTTTAGAATTGCTTCGATCTCGCATAAAACGGTTTGTACCTCCTCGAAGGTTAAATGCCCTCCCAATGATTCGATAAAGGTGATGTTTGGCTGACTTTACAGCCGCCTCCCATAGTCCGCCAATGTGCGGAGCATTAGGTGGAATGAAGTTCCAGGTGGTCTTTTGATCGCGTAAAAAATTATTGATGTCAGTTTGTGCGCTATCGCGACCGAGTGACTCATAGAATTCGTGTAACTGTTTTTGAGCGCCTACGAAATTCGTCCCATTGTCAGAATATATGACAGCGGGTTTGCCTCTGCGTGAAACGAAACGTTTGAGTGCCGCGATGAAGGCCTCTGAAGTGAGATCACTCACAAGCTCAATATGAATTACCTTCGTGGCAAAACAAACGAAAACTGCTACGTAAGCCTTGCTGATTCGAGCGTTACGTCGTTTACCTTCACGTATTAATAACGGTCCGGCATAGTCAATTCCGCAATGATGAAATGGCCTGGAAACCGTTATTCGCCCGGCCGGCAATGCGCCCATTATCGCTTCTGAGATAGTCGGTTTGTTTTTAAAACACGTGACGCAATTTTGCAAGATTTTGCGAGTGACCGATCGCAGGGATAGGGGCCAAAAGCGTTGCCTTACGGCAGTCATGGTTGCTTGTAGGCCAGCATGAGCATTGCGCTCGTGCTCTCGTAGTATAATGAGTCTCGTTAAAATGTGATTTCGCGATAGCAAAATTGGGTGACATGTGTCGAAAGATAGCTCGGCGTTTCTTAGCCTACCGCCCACGCGAATTAGACCGTTGGTATCGATAAAAGGGGACAACGATAGCAGATTGCTAGTTGTTCTGATAGCCTCACCCTTGCTTAAGGCTCGGTATTCCTCGGGGAAGTCCGTTTTCTGTGCCGTTTTGCACATCACATTTAAGGCAAAGGAAATTTCTTCGCAAGTTACGAAAGACGTGAATGGATCGGATCTTCTAGCCTTGGAAAATCTTAGGCAATATGCCAGGATACGACAAATTTTATTTAGGTTAGAATGCTTCCTTAATAAACCCTCTACAACGGAGTTTTCAATGGTAGCGACGGCTACCGTTGTTCGAATTGATTCGGGAATGTCGTTACTCAAAATAGTAAATTCACCGTTTGGCCAAAGGCTCTCGCGTGTCATCAAAAAGGCTGGGCCATTCCACCACATCGCAGAATCTTCAAGTTCGCGCGGATGTAGACCTCGAGACAAAATGTCTGCTGGATTGTCAGCCGATGAAACATGACGCCACGAATTAAGGTTTGTAAGACGCTGGATTTCGCCGACTCTATTAGCAACAAAAATTGCCCATTTCCGGGATGGCGAAGATATCCAGTTTAAGGCTATTGTAGAATCGGACCAGAGAAAGATTTTCATGTTAGTTATTGGAAATGAATCATTGATTTTATCAATTAGTTGCGCTAATAGAAGAGCAGCCGATAATTCCAATCGGGGCAACGAGAGTGCCTTAAGCGGAGCAACGCGAGACTTTGAGGCGAGCAACTTGCACCCAAATTCTTCCGGACCTATCTGTGTACGCACGTAGACGCATGCTCCGTATGCCCGTTGACTCGCGTCGCAAAAACCGTGTATCTGAGTTGCTTGCGACTCTGAATTAAATTTTATACAACGCGGAATTTTTAACCGATTGAAATCTTCGAACTGAGACTTGAGCTTGTTCCAGCGCGTGTTGATATCTGGGGGGACCGATTCGTCCCAGTGTATGCCCAATTGCCACAGATCTTGCAACAGAAGTTTTGACAAGACTACGGCCGGACCTAGTAAACCCAGGGGGTCAAATAAACGCGAAACTTCGGATAGGATAACGCGCTTCGATAAATTCTTATGCTCCGCGTCAGGAATGTAAGAAAAGTGAAGCTCGTCCAAGGATTGATTCCAATGCATGCCTAAAATTCGCGAACTCGCTTCGTGATTGATTATAACCGTGTTATCAGTTTGATCATGTATATTTTTTAGCAATTCTGGAGAATTTGATGCCCATTTACTAAGTTCGAAGCATCCTAATCGCAACAAGTTAATGGTCTCGTCTCGCGCCTTGACTGTCTCGCTTAGAGTATCGGCTCCCGAGAGCAAATCGTCAACATAAAGGTCGCGCTCTACGCATACGGAGCCCATTGGGTATTTATCGCGATTCGATTCAGCAAGATGCTTAAGACATCTTGTTGCTAGATATGACGCGGGGGTGGTCCCATATGTAACGGTGGCAAGCTCGAATGTTTGTACTTCTGAAGCCTGGTCCTCCCGCCACAAAATTCGTTGGTAGCACGCATGGGAAGGATCTATAAGAATTTGGCGATACATTTTAATAATATCGGCTACAAAAACATAACGAAAGGTTCGGAAACGCAGTAAAATCGAAATCAAGTCTTGCTGGACTACCGGGCCCGTCATGAGAATGTCATTTAAAGAAACGCCGGTACTGCTTTTACTGGACGCGTCAAAAACTACGCGGATACCGGAAGCTGGTGATGCGCTCTTGAATACGCAATGGTGAGGAAAATAGAAAGATTCGCTTAAGCCATCTACCGATTCGTGTATTTGTTTCATATGTCCAAGTGCGAGATATTCACGTAAAAAGTGTGCGTATTGAGCTTTAAGATCCGGATAACGCTTAAATCTTTTCTCGAGATTATAGAACCGTTTCAATGCAGAATCTTTTGAATTTCCGAGTTTGCCGTTCGCTTGATCCTTGAAAGGAAGTTTGACAATGTATCTACCCTGATCATTGCGTGTAAAATTGTTTAAGAAACTCTCTTCGCAACGAGATTCTTCGTCGGTGTAATGTCTTGGATTGCTAACAGTTTCTAGCTGCCAAAAACGAGTTAATTGCGCATGCAACTGCGAATTGCTTATTGTCGCGTGAAAGGCTCGAATGCATTGCGATTTGTGTGAAGAAGGAGTTAATCGTCCCGCCAGAATCCATCCAAATCTTGTTTTTTGCAAGATCGGATGGTTGGCTGAAGCCTTTATTTGACCGATACATAATATTGACCAGAAGATTTCCGCGCCTATAAGGATATCCACGTCAGCTGATACGTTGAATTTAGGGTCAGCTAATTTGATGTTTCTCGGAATTTCGAAATCCTTTTGCTTGAGTGTGTACGCGGGCATTTTGTCTGTTATTCTATCGGTAACTATACAATCTAATGTAGCGGTAAATGAATCTACTCGCGATTTGATTTGTACCTGCGCTATTTGTGATGCTTTAGTAGATGCGTCATTGATGCCGGTGATCGAAATATTTAACGACCGTGGCTGAATGCCGAGTTTATTTAAATAGCTCCGCGACACAGATTAATAGACAGATAGCCAATGACCCGGATAAAGACTAGACCGGCACTTTCTCACTGATTTCAGCGCCATATCGTAATAGTGGCCAATGCAGTAACTACTAACTACGTTCTCAGGATGAAACAGAGAGATGAGTTAGTCTGACAAAGACTAACAATCCATCGCTCTGACTTTGTCTCACCAACGATGAGTCTCGTGGACCCGTGCGGCGGCAAGCATGAGGTATCACCTTTCGCGTTTTTATACTCGGCAAGCGGCAAATCACAAACGATAATAAAAGTATGTGTACTTTTGTATACCAGTTTATTCGAGACTGTGAAACGGTTCGCATCAGCCAGCAAAAATTTTGTAGATTGATTAGTTAGAAGTTGAGTAAGTAGTAATTAATTAATATTATATATTTCTATTTACATATATACGCGTGCGTGCGTCCGTGTGTATGTGCGTGCGTACGTGCATGTGTGTGAAGAATCTCTATGTATATTATTATTCAAACTTAAAATAAGAACATTCATATATTATAACTACTCAATCAACAATTTAATTGTAATGTACGTGCAAATGCATCATGCCTTGTACGTAGAACATTATATAGATGTTACAAATATCTTAGCCAGATTACAAAATCCATTCAAATTAACAAAGAAGCGCAACGAGTTGATAAGTGGATAATTTGAATTCGTCGGTTATTTTGCGTAATTTTACTTCGACATTTCTGACTCTTTTATTATTATTTATTTTGCTTCGCGTCTTTCCGTTACTTATTTCTAATGACTGTTAATTTGATCTTATATTTATTTTATTTTTATGTTCATTACTTTATTCCGTGATTTGACATTGAAAAGGATCCGAATTGGATCGAAACGCAGTGTTTGTCACTTAAATTAAATAAACGTTTTATTAGGTTTATTATATTAATATAATCGTTTTTATTTTCGCATCTTTTCACCTTTGCGCTGGTCCTTTAAGCCTTTTATGAAATTTGATTGATTTTATTACGGACCTTTATTCTATTATAATAATTTTGATGTAAAAATCATTGCATTTGACAATTTAGCAATTAGTTTCTTGTAAACGTTTTATAAAATGATTAAAATTCTCTCTTAGCCAGATTGTAAAACATTTTATTTTTAACTTGAGAATGTGAATGCACTTTATAAAATGTCTAGATCTTTTATAAAACGACGGATTTTGTAATCTGGCTACGACATATTATTTTTATTTATTAGTGTTTGCTGCGATATATGTACATATAAAACATTAAATATTTATTTGATTTTTTTATAACAGAATGGACAAAGAACAAACAAAAAGAAAGTTAGAAGCGATAATGGAAAGAGAAGAAAAATTAAAAAAAAGAAGAAGAGAATTAGAAAAAATATTGGAAGAAAATAATACTGATGAGGAAACAGATAACGATGAAAAGTATTTATTGTTCTATGACACATGTAATATGTATATATATATATATATATACAGAGTAGACCATTTTAATCAATACACGCAAATATCTCGAAAAGGAGAAGTTTAAAAAAAAAATATTTCAGATAAAAGTATTTGACTCGAAGGAGGACATAAAATAGTGGCAAATATTTGACCATGAATAATTGTTTGAAGGTCACATTATGGTCATCTTTAATTTTTTAAACGGAACCCACTATTTTTTATTACTTATTATTATAGCTTATCTCGAGAGCTTTTCAAAACACTATAATAAAGTATTTCTTCTTGTATTGAGTTCTTTTCGAATTATGAGGCTTGAAATTATTTCTTAATTTTACATAAACCATAAAATATCTAATAAAATATTCATTTTTCGATTATCTAATCTTAATACTTTTATGTACAAAATAATGAAAGGAATCAATTGGTGTAAAGAAAACACATAGTTGTTTCGAAGAAAAAATATGTAATTTGCAATTAACAGTAAATATTATATTTTTTCTTAAAAACAACTATATTTTTTCTGAACACTAATTGATTCTTATCATTGATGAAAATGGTCTACCCTATATATTTAAAATATTATTTGTACATTAAAGTTACACATGCACACAAAAATATATTTATTATATTTATTTTTTCAGCTTTTTTTCTGCTGATGATATGAACGATGATGATGAAAAACAGCAGAACAAAGAAGGAGAAAAACAGCACGAGGATGATGCAGGGGAACAGCAGCAGGATTCATCATCCCACATGCAGCGTCGGGCTGGTGTAAGGCGCGCCGAACGTGATGAAAAGTATATTTATTAAATTTCGGATTTATATATGTATATATATCAATTTATGAGAATGTATTTGTTATTTTACGCGTGCGTGCGTGTGTATGTGTGTGTTTAAATATATAAAATAATTATATCTCTCTATTTATCAAGCTATAATATATTTCTCTCTTATGTTTTATAGATATAAATGGTCTGCTCGCAGAGAGAGAGGAAGAATGCAGAGCAGAGGAGGAGGAGGTTTTAGAAGAGGAAGCAGATTTTTTAGAAGAGGAGGAGGAGGAAGAGGAAGAGGAAGAGGCCGCGGAAATATAATTTTTAATTATAATTTTTAATTTTTTAAATAATAATATAATATTTATTTTTTTTAATTCTTTTTTTAAATTTTCTATAAATTTTTTTTATTTTTTTCTATTAAAGTAAAGATGTAAAAATAGTATTATAAAAATAGTATTATAATTTAATAAATTTATTAAAATTTAATAAAAGTCTAATTTTATTTTGTAGTCTAATTTGTAGTATAGTTAGAAAACACTGATTATTTTAGTTATTTTATTTCATTATTTTATTGCACTTTAAAATCTTCATACTATTATTTTATTTAAATATGTTTTATATATGAACATGTAAGACATATTGCTTACTTTCTAAAATCACATTTTCATATTTGTAAAAATAACATTGTATTATATTAAATATATTACAATACATATTAAAATATATTACAATACATATTAAAATAAAATAATAATATAAAGTTGTATAGAGTGATTCTGAACAAACGTTTATCTTTAAAATATTAAATTCTTGAATGAATTCTAAAATGATTTTTCCTCTTGAAAAATTTTGCCCACAGTTTAGTTTTTAAATGTTTTATGAAAAAAAATAGTTAATTAATTACGGAACGAGTACGAGAAGTAGGTAGGGACGTCGCGATATAAACGATTTCGTGGGGCGCTCGCCGCGATCAGCTGATTGCTACACTCATGAATTGATGTAGATTCGACCAACATTTCTCATTGGGATATAATCACTTATATCGCGCCGTCCCTGCCTACTTTTCGTACTCATTCCGTTATTAATTCGAACTATTTTCCTTTATAGTTTAAAAACTAAGCTCCGGACAAAATTTTGCAATAGGAAAAATCGTCTTAGAAATCATTCATGAATTTGATATTTTAAAGACAACAAACGTTTGTTTCGAATCATCCTGTATATATATATGTAATTTTATACACAATAATCTTGGTGTCAATTGTTAGCTACTCATAGAGCATTTCCAGGAGACGCCACGTGGAGGCCAATTGACACATAACTCGAAATTCTTAAAAATATAAACATAATATTTGCTAATAAAAAATATAAAAATGTTAATATCTTGCATTTAAAATTAATATATAAAAAAAGTAAAAAATTATGTTTTAATTCTAAAAAATTCCGAGTTAACTGTCTCCCAATTTATTCGATCTGCCATAAGGCCACGAATTTTTACATATTTTATACTCGTTCCGCATAAAATGCCGCGAGTAAATGTTTGGATCAGTGCAAAAGTTCGTGCCCGATTTGTAAATAAAAATCAAACAGTTGTTATTGTTATAAAACCGCCTTTATTAATCAATAATATATTCGCCACCGTTCTCGACAATCATTTTCCAACGTTTAACCAATGTATGAATACCACGTTTGAAAAAATCACGTGGTTTTGCGTCAAAGAACGCGGTGATGTGATTTTTGATAGCCTCCACAGAATCAAAATTCTTGCCATTTAAATCGTTTTGTAATGACCGAAACAAATGGTAATCGGAGGGTGCGATGTCCGGAGAATATGGTGGATGCAATAAGATTTCCCATTTTAATTGTTTCAATTTGTCCAGAGTCATTTTCGATGTGTGTCTGGCGTTGTCATGATGGAAAATAACGCCTTTACGATTAACCAAGCTCGGGCGTTTTTCTTTCATTGCTGCGTCTAATTTGGTTAGTTGTTGGCAGTACTTGATTGAATCAATCGTTTGACCAACAGGAAGCAGCTCAAAATATATAACACCTTGGCAATCCCACCAAACAGAGAGCAAGACCTTCTTTGGATGCAACTCAGCTTTAGCAATTGAATCTGCCGGTTTATTTGCTTCCTTCCAAGTACGCTTGCGTTTGACGTTGGTATACAACACCCATTTTTCATTACCAGTCACCAAACGATCCAAAAAAACCTCTTTTTCCAATCGTCCGAGCAAAGAAACGGCTGTGGAGATGCGGTCCAACTTGTTTTTTTCGGACAACGAATGCGGTATCCAAGTGTCGAGCTTTAAAGTGAGTCCCATCTTCTTTAAACGCCGAAACACGGTTGATCGATCAATGTTTAAGACCTCAGCAATCTCTTCCATCGAAATGCGTGTGTTGTTTGCTATTAATGCGCGCAGAACATCGTCATCGATGTCGGAAGGACGCCCAGAACGAGGTTCGTCTCCGAGTCTCAAAATCACCACGACGAAATTTAGCAAACCACTTCTTCACCGTTCGAAGTGCTGGTGCACGGTTCAAATAAACCTCCTGAATATTTTTTGTCGCAGCGCCAACAGTTATTCCTTTCCGAAACTCGTAAAGCATCACATGTCGAAAATGCAACTTTTCCTTGTCCATCTTCAATGATTTTTTCACGACTTAAATTTAACCAAACCAAGCAATTTCTAATGCTCAAATGACACCTATGACTGTTATTTTTCCAATAATATATATTATGCATATGTAAACAACAACAGAGCTGCTAGGAAACTTCAACAGTGCCATATGTACCAATCGGGCACGAACTTTTGCACTGATCCTAAAATAGTCAGATCGTACCGCTCGAAGAGCCGCGATCGTTTTACTCGTTCCGCATAAAATGCCGCGAGTAAATATAAAATAGTCAGATCGTACCGCTCGAAGAGCCGCGATCGTTTTACTCGTTCCGCATAAAATGCCGCGAGTAAATGTAAAATAGTCAGATCGTACCGCTCGAAGAGCCGCGATCGTTTTACTCGTTCCGCATTAAATGCCGCGAGTAAATGAAAAATAGTCAGATCGTACCGCTCGAAGAGCCGCGATCGTTTTACTCGTTCCGCATAAAATGCCGCGAGTAAATGTAAAATAGTCAGATCGTACCGCTCGAAGAGCCGCGATCGTTTTACTCGTTCCGCATAAAATGCCGCGAGTAAATGTAAAATAGTCAGATCGTACCGCTCGAAGAGCCGCGATCGTTTTACTCGTTCCGCATTAAATGCCGCGAGTAAATGAAAAATAGTCAGATCGTACCGCTCGAAGAGCCGCGATCGTTTTATATACGTAGTAATGGTGATTTATTTTTTACATATGTTTTATGTTCTTTAGTTTTTGACATTTTGTCTTTATTTCTTTTGATCTTCCAGATACTGTATTTATTTCTTCTCTTCCTCCATTGTTATTCTTTTTTGTAATTGCATATATCTTGACTCTTAACATAAAGTCTAACATTTGAATTCTATGTGAATAACACTCGTTGATCTGATTAAACCAATCTTCATCAGTATGCTGGACGTGTTTAACACAAATCTCAAGAAGCTTTTTCTTCACATCTTTGAAATACCAATACTTCTTGTAACATGAATTTATTGCTTCAAGTTGTAGAGTAATAATATTCAAAAATGAATCCGTTGGTCTTGATAGCCACTCTATTTCAGGATCATCTTCGTCTTCATGTTCATATTCACGTAGCTGAATATAGATTTCATTGTCGTTTAATTCTTCCATCGGTGTTTTCAAATTTTTTTCACGGCAGCTGTGGCACTTTGTATTCTTGTAACCGTAGCGAGCAATATATCCTGCGAAATATGAAATTGCATTTCTTTCATATGCCTCTGAATGTAAGTTCTCCTTGTTGGTCTTTGTTATTTCATCTAGATAGTCGGAATTGTGTTCCGAATATTTTGTAATTTCTTCAAAGGCTGTCGCGATGAGATTATCACAGTCGTCATCCATTTCAGTTAAACAAATTCTTCTTGTAATGGAATATTGTTATTTTCCAATTCACGAACTATCGATGTACCATCCGTTAATGAAGACGTTTCTTGACAAGTTACATTTCCTTTGTCGCTTCCATAAATATATCCACTTGATAAAATATGCCGCAACGTTAACCGTACCATTCTAGCAGTTGGATTACGGTTAAATCCTCCTCGTCCTTTAATTTTTCCAAATGTATGTTCTACAGAATCTTGGTTGCATAGTGCAGTAGCAAGCCTGAAATCCGGATAATGTTGTTTAATGGAACGATACATTGATAAAATTGATTTCACGGTCGTAATCATTCCATCAAAGCAGGGAGGTCTCGAAATCTTGTTGGGGGAAGTACTCCACTTTGAACACCATTCAACAAAAGACGTTAATAATTCTTCAACCATTAAATTATCATCTGATAATGGACCCTTTTCTCCTTTCCAATTATTTAAATGATAGACATTCATAGCATCTATTACTTTATTCATTTTGTAAACAAATTCTGCAGATGCTTTCCATGAAGAACTTTTTAATGTATTGCTTTGCCCTGCTGTTGATATTGCTGCAGCAAATCTTGCACTTAACATTTGAAATGCTCTTTTCACATTCATAACTTCAAAATTGTTTGGATAAAAATGCGCGTAGGTAATGTGATTCAATAAATTTGAAGTATTTAATTGTCTGTCAATTTGCCATGTTGCAAATAAATCATGAAAAGACATAATAATTTCGCCATTCACATAAATGTACTTATGAGATCTCAACTGACTAATCAATCGCTTGATAAGATGAGGCCAATCAAAAGAAGCAAAATAAGTTTCATTGTTCAATTGAAAAGACGTGGAGAAATTTTCATGTGGAGAAATTTTCCAAATATTAAAAGCTTTTCTATTTGGTCCACCTTGGTCACATGTAATTATCTGCACATTTGCTCCTACATCTTTCAATTTTTGTAAACACATCTCCGTGAGTTCAATAATCTCCTTATGTGTTGTACTTTTTCCAGTCAAAAAGTATGCTACTATTTGCCGCCAAGGATTCTCCGCATTAATGCTATCAAGGCAAAATAGTAGAATATGTCCCGCTTGTTCATCGCGTCGTCCCAGAGGTCCGAGATCTACTAATCCTTCGATGATATCATATTTTCGACTGTACTCTTCAAATTTTTTAATTGACATCTCATCGAATTTTAAACAGCCAACTCTTTGAGAAGGTGGTAATTTAGACAAATTTTCTCGAATTTTATAAAATATTTCTTCACAAAATCCTGGTCGAATTTCTGTTTCTAATATCCAATTCTTGACAGAAGATTCTGATGGGAGATTTAGTCCAGCCTTTCTCATCCGTGAATATCCACTTGCGGAATAATAAAACATTTGTTTTGCTAAATCTTTCTTCTTTTGTATATTCTTTTCGTCTCTTATGAAACTGAAGTTTTATCATAGTTCTCGCAAGTGGTTTTAAACATTTCTTTCCATTTAAAAATTCATTTAGACTGTGTTTGCAAACGTTCTTGTTTTTCTGAATTGCAATATTGCGCTGTTTCAACATATAAGTCATATTTTTTTGTTTTCTCTTCTTCTCCATAAGAAGTTTTTTCAGTCTCAAATTTTCTTTTTTTAACTTTTCAATTTCGGAGAATTCATCTTTCTTATACACTTTTTCAGAAGCAGACTTTTTTTGCGTTTTTACTCGCCTTTTTATCATGTTCGCTTTCACTTCTTTCTGCGAGTAATTATCCAAAAATAGTGGAAGTGGATTTTCATTATTAAACCACTCATCGTCTGCGAAGTCATTTCCGAAATTATAGAAAAGTTCTTTTCCGGAAGGGTAACATCTCTTACGTGTCGTTATTTTTTTTTTAGCTACTTCTTCATTTGTATTGTTATTGTTTATTTCTTCAACATTTACTTGAAAATCGCCATGCGTTTCGACTTCCATTGGAATGCAGTCTTGATTATCCGAATGGTTTACATTTTCTTGTATAATATTTTCATTAATTTTGCCTTCTTCTGTAATTTTTTCAGCATTATCTTTCACAAAATGTGTAATGTCAGTCTCCTTTGGGGTCCACGGTATGGGATTCTTTCTAATATGTAATTTTGTACAGCTTATAAAATCTTCTTTATTAAAGTGGTCTGCACATAATCCTGCTTTTTGTATTGATGCTGGGGACCACTTAAGTAACTTTTCATTACCTGTTTAAATATAAATCTATAGTTAAATTTATACACTGAAAAAACATTTTAACCTTTAACCATTTAACATAAAATGAAATAGCAAACAAATTCATAAAAATGTTTTTAAAAAGTTTAGAAAGCATTTTTTAAAACATTAAAATAGTTATGTAACTTTTTATTTACTAAAAAAATTTTAATTTTAACATTGAAATAATGTAACAATGAAATTTTTTACATGTTTTAAGAAACATTACTTTTTAAAAATTACTTAAATTTATTTTACATTTGAAACTCCCACGATTTTTATTATTAAATAAAAAGACATATTTATACTTCAACAATATATTTTTAATATTTAATGACTTAATAGATACGAGATTTCAGCACATACGTAAGCACGTGTTTTAAGTTAATTCGTATGCGAACTTTTCGTTGAATATCCCTTGTAAATAATATTTTTTATATATTTTATACTTGAAATTTCGAAATCTTTTTTTGTTATAAGACCTAAAGAAAGATACATGTTCGATCAGTATCAGTAAAAATAGTAATTTAGAGATCCTAGATTTCAAACTTGGGCTGTTAAGTTTTTCTTAGTTTTTTAATTAAAAAATTTTTTAAATTATTTTATACATGTAATATATGTATAATTTATTACATAAAAATAAATATATATTCGGCAAATATATATTGTTAGATACGCTTATATATTTCCTTATATATTTAAAATACATAAAATTAACGTAATATAAAAAAGTATTTTTATAGAGTAATATTTTTAATAATATTTTTACTTTTTAAAGATATAATAAATAATTTAAAAATAAAATAAATAAAGAAATAAGACAACGTTTTTTTTTTATTTTTTATATTTTTCGCACCGGTTGATAGAAATAATAAAAACATGAAAAATATTCCTTTGTAAAAATATTTTCTTTATATTACGATTATTTTATGCATTTTATATTTTATATTATATATATTAGAAGATATATTCGTATCTAACAATAAATATATGCCGAATATTTATTTCTACATAATAAATATTACATATATGACATATAAAATATTAAAAAAATAAAAATAATTATGATAGCTCGAGTTTTAAATCTAGGATCCCTGGATTAAAAAAATATTACAAGGCGCATTGGACGAAAAGCTCGAATACAGATCAACTTAATTTTAATACAGATTCACCACAAGAAAGGAGATCAAAATTGATGAAAATCAACCGCAATCCTTGATAGTGCACTTTAAAAAATTTTAATTAAATTTCATTAAACAAAATTACTTGAAATTTTTAAGACAGTTTCTTCATTTTTCACACAATCGTTTCTTCATTTTTCACACAATTAAGCTTTTTTATAATCATCAATTATTTTTGGTGTTTTCAAGAATTTTGTTCACTGATCAATGGCCAGCAAGATAAGATCTTTAATTTGAGGTGAGCAAAAGCCAATAAACATAAAATAAGAAGAAAAAAAGAATTTTGTATTTTTACTTACCACAATTTCTTATCCAAATGTCAAATCTTTCATCAGTCTTCTGTGGAAAACGAAACAATTTACAATTTTCTGATTTGATATTATTACAGTTTTTGTATGCACATCTGTCGAATATCGTGATTTTCTTCACATTATTTTTATCCATTTTGATCTACGAAAAGTACCTGAAACAATGGAAAACAAACCACAAACCGCAAACAAAAAACGCCGAAAAAGCACGCAGTTTCCGCGAATCTTCGGTTTTATCGAAATTACAATTTCGTTAAAACTGTAGATTCGTAAAATCGGATCACTATACACACACACACACACACACGTCACACTATACACAATAATTATTTCAATAACAACGATAAAAAATCGTAAGATATTGAAATCGCAAACAAAAGCACAATGAGAATTCGTTTTATGAGACACAGTAGATGTGATCACTCAAGAACGCCAGAAGCTTGTGAGCTCGCCGCGATAAGACAAAACAATTGCGTGTCGATTTCATTGTTAAATCTGTTGAAACGCGGCGCTTTAATTCTTCCGACGTTTGCGACGTTTCTTTAAAGATTTTATTTTTTCCCGTTTCAAAGATCTTTTCCGCGAGCAAAGTTCGGAAATGGATAATTAAATTTTTATACTTTATAATTTGTAATCCTCGATAATTTCAATAATTTTCTGTTTAAAAGTTATTAATTTTCTATTGCCAATTTGTTTATTTTTTCGCTTATTTTCTCACATACTTTTTTCCATTGCACTTTTGCTTACAGTTTTCAGTAAACAATTTTTTTTTGTAGTTACTGAAAATTATTATTAGTAATTATATACTTATGCAGTGATCTGAATAATCTATAATTTAGTCGAAATTGTAGAGATTTTTTTTTAAATCACGAAATTCACGGAAATTGCGTGCTTTCTCGGTATTTACCGTTCGCGGTACGCAGTTTATTTTCGATTGTTGCAAGCGTTTTTTTTTGGATTAAAATAGATTACGATAATGTGTGAAAAAAATCACAAAATATTCGACAGATGTGCACATAGAAATTGTAATAATGTCATATCATAAAATTGTAAATTATTTCGTTTTCCACTGAAGATTAATAAAAGATTTAACATTTGTATAAGAAACTGCGGTAAATAAAAATATAAAATTTTTGAAAATATGTACCAAAAATATTTGATGATAATGAAAAAGGTAAACGTTGTGAAAAATAAAGAACTTAAAAATTGCGCTAAGAAATAAATGGGCTATGTGAGCCATACGGATATGAGGTGCGTTATATCAAACTTTAATTAAAGAATTGAAAATTAATTTCAACTTTAAAAGTCTTGGAAATGTTCAAACAAATTTTTTGTGCCTCATGCACATTTAAAAGTTATATCGAAAAATTAAATTTTTATATAACGTGCCTTACATCCGCGCACAGCTCACATAGCCCTTTTATTTCTTATAGTTTATTTTAATATAAGAAGCTTTTAAATTCTTTATGTTAAAAATGTCAAGTGATTTTCTTTAATAAAATGTAATTAAAAATTTTGGAACACCGTGTTGAATAATAAAATAACAAATGTATAATGTGCAAAATATTTAAAAAGATTTATTTCACATTTAAAATAATGATTTTTTAAATAAAAAAGCATTTCATATATAAAAAAATTTATTTGTAATATTTAATAAATTTTATATATATGTAAACTTCTCTCTCTCTCTCTCTCTCTCTCTCTCTCTTTCTCACTCCCTCTCTCTCATACACATACACGCACGCATAAATAAATAAATTTAATGTATAAGAAAGATTTTGTCCAACTTGCCAAAATATATGTTTATAAAACAAAACAATATAGATGCAAATATACAATTAATTACATGTGATTCAGACGGAGCAAACAGAACAACTTTTAGTAATTTAACAATTTCTTTGCAATGCACGGTATGTGAGTGGCAGGGATCGGCAAAATATTATTAAAAAGTTAATATTATTTAATTACTCAAATAATCAATTTAGAAAATTTTTTTTATTATTTGGATAATTAAAGTAGAAAATTATTTAATTACTTAGATAATCAGTAATCAAAATAAAAAATTATTTGATTATTTAAATAATCAATAATCAAAATAAAAATTATTTGATTATTTGAATAATCAGTAATTAAAGTAAAAATTTCAGTAATCAAACCTTAAAATTTTTTAATTATTCAGTTATTAAAGTCAGATTAATTAGGTTCTTTCATTATTTAGTTTATAGTTAATCAAAGAACATCTGACCCTAATTTGATTATTTATATAGTTAATCAATGAACATCTGATCCTATATAATTACTGAATAATTAAAAATTTTTGAAGTTTGATTACTAAAATTTTTACTTTTATTACTGATTATTCAAATAATCAAATAATTTTTTATTTTGATTACTGATTATCTAAGTAATCAAATAATTTTTTAAATTGATTACTAATTATTCGAGCTATCAAGTAATATTAATTTTTTAACAATTTTTTGTCCATCTCTGGTGAGTGGGTGCGAGCGGGAGCCAAATCTCTCACCTCTCATTCGTCTCATAATCGATTAGCCTGGATTCGCACCAGGGGCAAAGTCTGTTGATAAAATCAAAGGAATTTAGCCTGGACTCGCACCAGGGACAAAGTCTTTTGGTAAAGTCAACGAAATTTAGCACGGACTCGAACCAGGGGCAAAGTGTGTCGGTAAGGGGCAAAGTCTGTAGCACAGAAATGGCGGTCTAGTCTTTACCCGGGTCATTGGCTATCTGTCTATTAATCTGTGTCCGCGAAATGAAACTTGCTTGCGATCCGCAGTCTAGGAGTACGCGACAGGGTACGAGTGAGCCTGTTCTGTCGTATGCATGTATGAGTGCAGTAGAAAGAATTACCCCTTGATTGCTGCGTGCGTTTAAGCCATGCGTTGCTATGATATTAGATGATTTGGCCGCGTCAGGTGGTTCGCGATTTTCTTTATCACTGTTTGTGTGTTCGGTTGAGGAAGCTGCTGTGAGATGCAGCAAGGAATTGTGTTTTGATTTGCATATCTTGCAACCGCCGGAAGGGCATTTGTTCGAAGCATGACTTGTAGAACGCAAACAATTGACACAAATTTTCTTTTTACGAATTTCCGAAACGCGTTGCGGAATTGTAAGCGCCAAGAAGTCCTTGCAGTAATATATCGAGTGTTCACCGTTACAATGACCGCACTTTGAAGTAGTCGCGGCGGCGCAGGCGATTTGACGACTCGTTTGAGAACGCGGGTTATTTTTTGTATTTGGCGTGACCTTACTGGTAGCTTCTAGCATTTGACATTGACGCGTAAGGAATTTTATAAATTGTTGTAGCGTAGGCAGATCGGGCGTGTCTAGAGATGATTGCCATTCTCGAGATGTACGTGCATCTAATTTATCGGTCAAAATGAGTATGAGAAGGTCATCCCACTGAGACGTTGGACGCCCTAACGCATTGAGAGCGTGAACGTGTCTCATTGCACCGTCCGCGATTTGACGCAGTTCAACGGAATTTTCTTTGCTCATGCACGGCAATTGCATGATCGCTCGAACGTGTGTTTGCACGATAACGCGCTTGTTATCGTAGCGTTCTTTTAATAAATTCCAGGCCACTTCATAATTCAAAGCGGAAATCTCCAAGGAACTAATGACTTTACTCGCGTCTTCCTTCAAACAGCCTTTCAAATATTGAAGTTTTTGTACGGCAGTTATCGACTCGTTGGAATGTATAATTGATTGAAACGCGTCAAAAAATGGAGACCATTCATCGTATTTGCCCGAAAAAGTCGGAAGATCTAATTTCGGAAGTCTGATATGCGCTGACCATCTCGGCAGATCAAGTTCACTCGAGGGAGATCTTGTTGTTGCACGCGACGGAATTGATCGCGGCGTTACGAGTTCTCGCATTCTCGCCGCTAAAGTGAAAAAGGCTTCCTCGAAATTGATGCGATGATTTTCCTCGCTCTCGTCTAGCAACTCGATTTCTGTCTGTACCGATTCATATTCGGACATGTTACTGTTTAATTTTGCTCGTCGCTCCTCGAGCTGCGCGGCGATGGTAGGCGTGACGGAAACAACCGAATCTAAAAACGTTTTTATACGCGTACACGAGCGTTGTATTACTGCGCGCCGCTTCTTGAGAGAAGCGAGATTTTGCTCGTTCGCCATGACGCGAAACTAGATAAAATATTCGTTCACGACAAGGGTGATTGGTTGGCAGCACTCTCGAACGATTGCCCTTACCTTGTTAACAATAAATAGCGCTCTGATGAAACGCTCGCTGGTCAATGGGCGCGAGTTTCCTGGACTGCAGTCGGGACGTCCGCCGGCGCCAATGGAGTCCTGATGGTTCCGCGGTGGTTATAGCTGGACTGGATCCTGGCTGTAGCTTCCTCGAGGAAATGGCTCGCTCGTTCGTCCAAGATGGCCGTGTGTGTGACTGAGATGCCGGCAATGATATAATGCACGACAATTTTGAGGTTATGGCAGCGGTTACTAGCCTCCTCGTACTCGTTTCTGAGGCTCGTCCGTAGTCGCTGAGTTCCTTGTTCCGTAGAAATCGCCAAGTATCCGGCTCGAAGGACCAAAATGTTTTGTCGGGGCTGGAATGCCCTCCACGTATATGCCGATGGAAAGAGTGCTTCGTAGCCACGTGGTCGAGGAAAAAAGTTGCGTTCCTCTCGTTTAAAAATATGTATATTTCAGAACTCACAAATACGTACAGTAGCTTGCTCAGAATGCCTTTCTTATTACTAATTATTGCACAAGATATTGCGTGCCTATGTGTGACAAAGGTATAACGTGGCTCAAGGGCCGAGAGCAGAGAGAGGACAAGAAAGGCTCACACGCCAAGGCCAGCTAGAGGTGCTCTCTCGTGAAGTACAGAAGCGCCGCTAGGCGAAACGAGAGCGGAAAGCGAACGCTAGCGCGAATGCTCCCGCGGGACACTTAAGTGTACTAAACAGTAGGAATGTCAAAACTTTATCAAACAAAGACGAACATTAATGTCCGTTTATCTGTTAATCGTCAGGACAGTAGCGGAACACTATGGTTTGTTAAACCACAGTTATATCCTCTTTGTATTCGAGAGTGCGGTTATCGGAGGAACTGTAGACAGCATAACGAGAAGGTTATTATCCGTGCTGCTTAATTTATACAAGTAATAAACTCATAGCGCCATTATTGGCTCTGTGGCTATACGAGCGCGGTGAATACACGTGGGTATTCATAAGCAACAAGTCTCGAAATTTCGATGGCTGTCATCCCGGATAAGCTTCATGTCACGAAGAATTAATGCAGATAACAATTTACAATTTGATGGAATGCTTTGAAATAATAAAAATAAACAAATACATATATTCTATCTAATTTTTAACTTTATTAAACAATTTAAAATAAAATATTAAAATTTGTTTGCCGATATAACTAAAATTATCAAGTATTTTGCAAAATATAGATTAAAAATATAGAAAAAAATAAAGAGAGAAAAGCGTTATGAAATCAATAACAATCTCATTTATATAATAAAAAGAGTTCCCTACTTCTAAGAATATAAAATATGTCTTGCACATTCAGAAGGATTGTTTGAAAAAAGTGATGCATAAAATATGCATGCATTTTAGAAGAACAGAAATAAGATCGTTAATAATTTCCGAAACTTCCGTTCGAAGCAGACACAAGCGATTCGATTTGTGCAACTTTTTTTATAACATTCCATTATATAACATTCCATATTTTGATAACGTAGATTGCTGGCAGATTCACGAAGACGCTGTAGGATCGTAATCATTTGCTTTGGCGACCTAAATTATAGAGTTTAGTCTCGACTATCACGAAAATGTTCGTTGCGAGAATTTAACCGAAACTTTGCAGACTATCTAATTAAAAAGTAAAGAACCAAAAGTACGGTCGGCGCCTGTTTTCAGTATTTAGATGGAAATTTATGGCGCGAATAGATAACGTCCGATTTATTCATACCTCCAACTTTTGATACATTCGAAACTGATTGCTGCGATAAGGAAATATATTGTCAGAATTTCTTAGATATTTCTTGAATATAGAGCAGAAATAATCATAAATAAAAGATCAGCATTATATAGCTGGACGCTGATTAATTTATGCATGATCAAGAGATTGTATACTCTGGGAAATTGCATAGCACGTATGCGAGTTAAAAGCGATACATGTATCGGGATGTTTATGAGACGAGTTCCAACGATAAGGGGTCTCCAACTTCGCTCCGAATGTCGAATAATCGGCACATAAAGCTCCGATTTAATGCTATCTTTAAGGTTCGATCGGTTATCCACGCAGGACGGTAATACCATGCTCCATTTCCGAAAGTTTGACCCTGTTATCAAAGCTTAGAATATGTATCCACTAGAATATATTTGCTCTTCCCGACAGGATACCTATAAATTTAATAGAAAATTCTAAATAGATGGGACAGTAAAAGATAGCATAAATAATATGAGAATAAACAATGGATCTTCTCTATAACTCTAAATTGATATCATATAATGGGAGTAGATAAATGAAATTTTGCGTTGGAACTTCTATGACAGATGTTCTCGCAATTTCTCAGAGAAAATATCTTTTAAAAGTGAATATTAGACTCTCTGGTCTCTTCGTTTTGTTACTGTCTTGCGAAAGAAATTGCATTCATCGTATGGAAGAATAAGAATCCACAAAGTCTCTTCTACGCTCGTAAAGATATAAATTAAAATGCTATTAGTCACGAAACATAAAATGATTTATAGCTGAAGAAAAATTCTATATATTGTGAACTCTTTCGTTCAAGACGAAAAGAAACTCATGAGAAATTCGCCTCGGTGGAAATCACAAAACTCGGCAACTTTTATATTCGGTCTGAACGAAAATTAGAATTTATAAACGTGGACTACTTGGCACGCGCGCGACTCAGTTCGATTTTCCCCATCACGGAAGAGGCAGAGTATAAGAAAAAAAGAAGCAAACGAGTATAATGTTATATCTATTTTTTCATATTACTGTCACGCTTTACGAGCGAACTATACAACGCGCCGAAATGCATACGCATGCAAAATCCTCTGATACACTTTCTTCGCGAAGTATCGTAAAGACGCGTATCCTAGTACGCTATGTCGGATACGCGCCTTGTTCTGTATCGGAACATCGAAACACTTGAAAGGAGAAAGAAGAAGCGTTATTTGCTTCTTTTCTAGCAACAAAGTTTTCGTACTCCCAATGTATTTTTCTGTTTGGTTATATAACCCAACCCCTTACTTCAGAGCCGAATGTTTCGCGGAGATTACCTGTCAGAATACGTATTTCCCGCCGGCGAGTAAATTTCTCTTCAGGATGGGTCGCGAAGATGTTTCAATGTGGCAGGACGCTCTTCTTAGAAAGCGAGCGTATTACTCTTTGTCCTTTACACATTTTTAATTTGTGGTTAGCAAGACAAAATCTTATCATCACATTATAAAATAAAATAAGAATATTAATGGCATAGTGAAATAAGAGAGGCAAATAAATTTTTTTTTTCGAAATTATTATGTTTAGTATAGTTTCTATTGTCTGTACCATTATTAATTTCACAAATTTTACTAATTATATAATATTAATTGCATAATTAGTAATTATATATTAGCAAATATTGTTTTGAAAGGAATTTTTACATATATAAGCAAATAATATAAATTAATTTTCAATAAATGAAATTTATATAAATATATATATATATATATATATATATTATATTATATTATTCATAAGAGGAGTATGCATATATAATTTCTAATAATGCACTTTGTTCAATTTATATATACTGAAACAGCAGAAATTCCATTTGCAAAACTATTATATAAATTTTTTTTACTTTAGCGATATCGCGTATGCGATATGCGTTTCATATACCGTTTCATAAACGAGATATATCTGCTATTAATCATATTTGCAAACATTTCCAATAAATATAATAAATACTTTAATTACACTATAATTAACATTTTATTTTATTAAATGTTATAATAACTATATATGAAAATAATGTTACTATTTGCTTCAGATTTATAATAGTTCCATTTGATTTTCTGTTTTTTATCTTTTATTTATACGTATATCTCATCTTTTATACATTTTTCATAAATAATGTAGAATTAAATAAAATATAAATCTTTTTTTAACTATATCTGAATGTCCTATACATTGCAGTGAAATATATATATGATTTGCTACGTTTGTGTTGTACATATATATATATATATATATATATATATATATATATATATATAATTTGATAAAATATCCATTTTAATTATCTAACATAAACGTTTGATAAGCTTGATTTACTCATATACGTAACTACTATTTACATCATCATGATCAATGTATCCGCTTGATGATAGTGGAAATCAAATAGGATTATTTTTTACTCTCTTATTTACAGATACAGCAAGAGTATTTACAAATATTGTGCTTACAAATATTTTTGTATCTACGATTTCTAAATTTTATTATGCAAATAATAAAACATATAGAAAGAAATGCAGTTATTAAATCTACGAAATTTAATATGTCAATTATGACAAACATTTATAAAAACTTTTTTGCAATATTCTCGGCAATGAGTAATGAAAAGAAAATATTTAAAATTATCTCATATATTTTTCCATGAATAAAAACATATTTTATATGATAAGATTGCTTTATTTATATAATGTTATTTTATTTTTTAATTTTTTTATCCATGTATATAATTGATAATATAAATGTTATTAGCTAATAAAATTATCGATTATTTTAATGATAAAGTATAAAGTATAAAAATAGCGATATAAATATTAATATAAAGCACATAGTATATGAGTATATGATAATTGAATATGTATAAAACGTTTTTTCTTAAATTTTATTCAATGATATTATACTTTATTATTATGGTTGCAAATTATCGAAGCATTTAGGCGTGCTGTAACTGCATTAGAGTTTTCCTGGAGAGTTTTAAAAATAAAATGGCTTATCACATCAAATAAAACTGTTATTCATTTCATTTAAGATTATGACAAGGAGCATACATGAAAGAAATTTTACCGATTAAATGATAAGCATGCAAAATTATTAATGGATATGTGACTGAAAGGAAAAGCGTTAGAGTGGCTATATTCGAAGCCCGAGTTTCTTGAAATATC